TTTAGTCAATAAGATAAAATATCACATTTAAACTATAATCGTTTCATTTTTTTTTTTTCGTACAACTATTAAATCAACTACAAAAAGCCAAAATTTATCCCAAACACAAATTTTTTAATCAAGTTAAAATAGACAAAAAGTCAAGCTAAGTTAGCTCGTCTCAAACAAGAGCTTAATGATGGTGCCAGACCAAAATAATGGTTTTCAGGTAGGCCTTAAATGGGCGTAGCTTAAGTTTGAACTTTAATTTTGATTTTTAATGGTTGACTTAATTATAATTGATATATTTGAAGGGAGATTTGGAATAACCAAGAAAAGGGACTCCTTTTGTTCGCTTTGCTATTTTATTACGTAAATTAATTTTAATGTCAACCATTTTTATTGAGTTTCATAAAGAAGATAAAAGGGTAAAAATTAATTGGCATATTTGATTTGTATATTATCGGATGAACTCTAACATAAGATAAACTACAATTACAAAATTTCAATGACATAGTTTTTTTTATGTTTTACTGTAAGTATAATTTTTATAATTTATTCTATTTTTTGCCTTTATTTTTTACTAATTACGTTATAACACAATTTTGTTTTTAATATGTAGAACACACCATCGATGACAAGACTAAAATAATAATAATTGTAATTATTATAAAAATAATTAAAAATCATTTGATTTTAAATTTCTTTTTTGTCTATATTTTAAAATATTTTTTAAATAATATATAATATTAATATTGAAAATTCTAGAAACCCTAGATGTTGATTTGTGATTATATATCAATCATAAGCAGTAAAAAACAATCTCAATCAAACAATCAAAACAAATTGACACAATGATTTTTACGTGGAAAAACCACAATTGGACACCTCCAACTGTGATAAAAAAACCACGGGCAACAGCCACAAAACAATCCACTAAGAAGATATAAAGGAATTACACAAGTATACTTTCAATTACCCAGCGAATCCACAACGCCTAATTGAACCAACCTCTATGTACCTCTTCCAACCCCATCTTCACCTCGGAATTGTCTTTCTAATGAACCACTCCAGAATCCACTGAAGTTTCAGGCTTGAATTCTTCAGAATCCACCGAAGAACAACTATATCTCTTTTGTATAACAAACCAAACCTTTGATGTACCTTCTTTAAACCATGAGTTGAATACTCAATAAAAATATCAAAGAAACTAGCAAAATATCTCCAGATATAAACCTTAAGATCCAAAAAGAAGATTTGGAGAAGTACCTTTAGCTTTGGGAGAAAACCAAGTATTTATAGAAAACCAAAGCAATCCTAATTTCAGAAGAAAACCAACTCCATAACGAATCTGGAAATCTGGGATCGCGCGGTCCGCTCGAGCGTGGGACTTCCCGCTCGAGCGGAGACTCTATATTTTGTGATTTCATATAGGCTCCTCGCTCGAGCGTCCTTTTCCTTGCTCGAGCGGCCAATCACACCATCCAGTACTTTTTCAGGAATAGTAGAGATACTGTGAGCTCGCAAAACCCGCTCGAGCGTCACTTTCCCCGCTCGAGCGGGAAGACCAAAACTGGAAAATCTGGAACTAAAAATTATTACAATTTTGAATGCAATTTTTCATTTTGCTTCGGCCTTCGAGCTGATCGGGCAGCTCGACCCCCGTAATAATCAGCGAAGTGGCAATCTTGAAAGTATTTGCATCACAAACTTCTCTGCAAGGCTCAATTCGGGTTGGATTCGCATCTAAACAGTCATAGCCTCACTGAAATAAAAGTGCGAAAATAAATACAATTGAAAGGAGTTTTGTCAAACGGGATTGCCAAGAAATAAAGCCTAACAAATATTTTTTTTTTAATTATTTGTGTGATACCGTGCATAGCACGTGTATAATGCTAGTATATATATATATATGACAATGTTAGGAAATCGGTTTTCCTAATCAGGATTGATAGGACACAAAATAGTAAACAAAAAAAAAAATGAATCAAAAAGAATAGTTACTGCGATTTTCACTATAATCAGAAAACGATTACGACTCTCTCCAAAAAATAGACACCTTTTTTTTTTAATTATTTATAAACATAAAAATTAAAATAGCACGTAAACAACAAAAAAAATAAAAAAAAATTATCGAAGTATCCAAAGCCCCCCATTGGAACCCCTTCCCTTGAGAGAGGTCCCCAAACTCTTTATTGGACCCAAGACCCACTGTACAAGATCCACAAGACCTAACAAACAATTTATATGATGTAAGGTATAATAAAATCAAAATTTAGTCTAATAGCATACCACTTCGTCCTCCTTTTCTTTTCTCCGATCAAATTCAAAATCTTAATACAAAAATCTTTATTCACTTAAATATTCACAAATCCATATATACCATTCTGGACATCCTAAATATTTTGTACATGGGTCAAGTTAATGACAACCTATGGGTTGTTTTTAAGAAAGATATAAAATCAAAATAATTAAAATCTCAACATACTTTTTACATTTTTCAAAATACGTTTACATATATATATATATATATATATATTACAATATATACATATCGAGTCTAATGATCACGCAATGAGCGGTCATTAGCATTTTCCTTTGTAAATTTTAAATTATTTGTTTCAATATAATATTTACAATATGTATAAGTGGATTTATTTCAATAAAATGTAAGCATAGATTTATTTTAAAAATTTTCTTTTATCCTAAATCATGTATCTTTCTTGTTGAGAATAATAAAAAAATATAAAATAAAATGAAATCTCACATCTCTGTTATAGGTAGATTCTTGCTTAAACCTATTATGCATCATTAAAATATAAAAAATGATATACAAGTCCACGTCTAGACCCAACAATATGTAAGTGATATAATTAGTTAATTATTAGAGAAGATATAATAAACAGTATTGCCTTAAATATCCTAATTAATTGTCACGTCACTGGATTTGAAAATCTGATCTAATTTTTTGTCTTGAATAACAATACTCTTAAGATATAGTAAACCAACTGTCACGCTTTAGAATTACTCAAAAACAATGCAAAAACTTAAGAAAATTGGAATTAAACTTTCAATCACCCTGTGTAGCTGCACTCTACCATATTCAATCTGCTGCATAAAAGGCTACATTTTATACATTAATTTTCCAAGAACCTCCTATACATGACACGACCCATGTTGGACGGTGATCTCTTCTGGCAAAGTCTCCATAGAACCTCCACCATCGACTTTGCTATAACCTAAATCAGTTGTAGTTGAAGTTATTGTAGAAGAGTTAAGTGACAAGCATACCGAGAGTAAAAAAAACTGAGTATGGGTCAAAACGGGCGTCCATGGCGATTCGGTAATGTCTATGTGGGGCAGTCCAGTAAGCAGGGGAATGGAGGATGGCAACCAGTGGTCCGCAGACATGGTGGTAGAGGAGCTGGGGCAAGAGGAGATGGGCACCTTAGGGAGAACAACATACACTCTGTTTTTGTGGATGACATACCAAAGTCTATGGGGGTGTCAGGGTTAGAAAAAATCTTCTCCAACTATGGAGTTGTGCCGGATGTGTATATTCCAAACAAGAGAAGACGTTCCACAGGGTCTAGGTTCGGCTATATACGGTATGACTGCCCGGTAGCAACGGACATAGCTGTGTCCAAAGCACATGGTCTTTGGTGTGATAACAAAGCCTTAAATGTCAAAATGGCGGAGTTTAGTAAGGAACATGTGTATAATTAGAATAAGGCTCCTACATTACAGAAGGGAGGGGTCAAGAAGGGTAACCAACATGTACGCGCTACTTACTAGTGGAGCAAGTCATATGCCGATGTGTTAAGAGGCAATGCTCATCAACCTAACTCGGCTCATACGATTAAGGTTCAGAGAGGAGGGAATGGGTGGCTGTATGAAAGCGCTGTGGTAAAACTAAAATCACATCTATCGATTAATAATTTTAAGGCTGAACTATAGAGGCGAGGCTATGGGGATATCATAGTTCGGGTAGGAGGTGGACGTCAGATACTTCTCTTGTTTCAATCAGTGGTAGCTTTGAGGGAACAACTTCTGCTAATGAAGGAATGGATTCAAGAGTGGTGCGAGTCGATTGCAGAATGGGATGAAAGCATGGAATTGGATCAGGTCAGGCAGGTGTGGTTAAGTTGTTATGGGGTGCCACTGACCCTATGGAATAGTAATACCTTTTGCAGCATTGGTCGAGAGTGGGGTGAGGTGCTTAAATTGGATGAGAGTACCATTAATGTGTCTTCTTTCCATTGTGGGAAAGTGCAGATCGAAACTAGTTGTATGACTACCATCAATCACACAGTCAATCTGGAATGCAAAGAAGCGATCTACCCTGTAAGGTTCTGTGAGGAACAAATCATAATCTCACAGGTTGTGAAAGACCACTGCATATGTCAATCTTTTTTGAGGAACAATGAGGCCAGTTACAACTCAGAGGAAGAAGTCGAGAACATTGCAGATAGAGGCAGCAGGAAAGAAGAAGAAGATGCTGACGTGGTAGTCCAAGTGGGTGCTGAGGTGGATAAAGGCTGTGGGGTGGATCTAGGAGGTAGGGTGATAGCTCAAGTCTCGAGTAATGGTTTGGAGGAGGAAGAAAGCTTGAGGGAGGTTTCAGTGGTGGAGGAGTCAGAATCGATGATGGCAGTGTCAGAGGAAGGCGTTGCACGTAAGGGGGGTTCTGATAGAAGGCTCGGTAAAGGGGTGTCAGCAGTAGGTAAAGCACTCAAGGAGGGTAGAGGTAGTGGTAACGATGAGGTGTTTACTCCAGGATTTATAAAAAGCTTGAGTGGTTCTGTTGGTCCTCAACCAGGAATTAATCTGGAAGTGGCGTTGAATAGGGCCCACTTGGGCATGAATAAGGAGGGGCCGACCCATTGGGCTGCAAACTCATGCAATGGGTCTGAGTTTTGTATTTCAAATTTTAGTAAATCTGTCAATGGGCATGAGAAGCCCAATTCCGTAGATAAGAGGGTGCACCCAGGCCTAATCTGTAAGGATAAACAGAAGGCGAATAGAGAGGCTAGTACTCGGCAGAATATTTTGAAGCAGTGGAAGCAGGAAGGGGGGAGGAAAGCCATGATGTCCAAGTTGAATTTCGAGAAAGAGGCAGTCTTCCGAACTGCTGCTGCCGTGATCTCCCTCTCCATGGCCAGCAAGGCCACTGGAGATCGGTCACGAGTTTCAGAGGCAGCGGCAACTCTCCAGATCGGGAAAGTGTTGGGTGTCGACTGTGATGGCAAGGAGGAGGTGATTCTTAGTAAGCTAGAGGAATTAGAGGCCAATGATAAATGAAGAGTGGTCAGGAGGAGTGATGGAGCCAGTTGAGCTGCAAGGTTCAAGGTGGTTATGGAGTATATATTAAATTGTAATGAAGATACAATCTTGGAATGTTAGAGGCTTGGGTAGACCTACGAAAAGGAGAAAGATTATACAAAGCCTAGCAGAAAGGAAAGTTAGTTTGGTGTTGATCCAAGAAACAAAGTCCTCTTCTATCACTTCTGAAGTAGTTAGTTCCATCTGGTATGAGGACATTTTTGCGTATTTAGCTGTGGATGCGGAAGGCCATGCTGGTGGGCTGCTCTGTATATGGAATCCGAGGGTGTTCCAGCTCAAGGCTTGCTGTGGTCATTGCAATTTCATACTCTTGGCAGGTACTTTCTTCTCCTCTTTTATAGCGATCCCGGTTTTTCCTTCCTTTGTATACTGTATTCTGGACTTGGTTCCGTGGACTTGTTTTTGTATCATTATCACTTCTAGCCTTTCCTCTTTGTATTTGAATCTTGGGTGTGATGGGCAGGTTTGAAACAGGTTGGTTGCACTTTGAAACCAAAAGGTGATGTCCATATTTTGGCCTTCACGCTCGAGCGGAAGTTTTAACGCTCGAGCGGGTTCTTCGTTGTTGCTTATCCGCTCGAGCGGGAGTTTTGACGCTCGAGCGTGTTTTTCCATCTCCCAGTACTTTACTCTGCAGTCCCTCCGCTCGAGCGGATAGTTTGGCGCTCGAGCGGGTACCATCGCCTGTAAAACTTCTGGATGTGTGCAATCGACGCTCGAGCGGCTCTTTTCACGCTCAAGCGTGAGTCTGTGTCTGACGCTCGAGCGGGGATTTTCACGCTCGAGCGGGGAGTCGACTACATCAGTCCGAGATTTCACTTTTTGGATCACTTTTTGACCTACTTTTCTTTCTTAACTTTTAGAAAACCGCCCCTTGAGAGTCTCTCTCTCTTTCTCTCTCTCTAAACCTGCCTTCTCTCTAAAAATTGATCTACCTAGGGTGAGTATCTAACCTTGGTCCTTTATTAAAAAGATAGAGTGAGTCAAGGGCTTTCATTCAATCTGAACGTTTGGTGGTTTGGAGCACTTTGGAATTTGGGTATTCATCTTCGTCTTCTCCATTCGGGTTATTTTCTTCGAGGTAGGGATTTCCTACTCCATATTTGTCAATATAGTAATTTTTTCATGTTTTGTGAAGTCTAAAAATTATAATTTGTCTTATGTTATAAGA